TTGTTGCAGGCTCTTGGCCTCCGGCTGGACTCTTGGGTGCACTGTGATAGGCTCTAGGTCTTCAGCTGGACTCACTCAGGACAATGCAGTGGGATCCAGCTGGAGTCTTTGGGTCTTTAGTGTGTGTGCAGATTTCCTGCTCTCCTTTGTACTGGACTCCCTGGGTGACTGCTATAAAATAATCCTATAAATTACGTGTCCTGTATTAAATTGTTTTCCTTGTGAACCCTGACCATAACAAGAGGTAAGTGATTAAGTGATGAATTGGCATCCTTTTATTTTATTTATTCTTTGGAAATAAAGTGCAGCATTATTTATTTAGGAAAATAAGAGCACAGCATTTCAAAAAGCTCAACCCAGTCCTATTTCCTGATCTTTCTTTGTCTCGACATGCCCGTACCATTGTCCTATAAAGTAGAATGTTTAAGCACAGAGTATTTGCTCTCAAAGACCAGCAAACTCCAACAGAGTAACCAGGGTTCCCCTCGCTGAGTTATGTAAGTGGTGCTGTTTCTACTGACATCACTGCTCCCTTTTTTTTTTGGAAAGTTCTGTTTCGCCTGCACCTTTTTTTTTTTTTTTTTTTTTTTTTTTCCTACTTCTGTGGAGCTCACATCAGGAATTGGGTTAAATGAAGAAATATTGCCCTGAACTCCAGGCTTGGTCAAATTTACCCTGTCTTCCGCTGCCATCTGGTGGAATGTCTTCTTCCTGACTCTTGAGGATGGTTAGAATCTGCAGTAAATTTTGTTTCCTACATTTTTAAGTGGCCATTCTCCAGGCAGTAAGAGAAATATATAAGCTGGAGAAAAAACAGTCCATTTTTATGGTAGGAAGTAAGGAAGACCCATGGTGATTTGACTCGTTTTTGAAATAATACTTTGCCGTGTAAACACTTGCTAAGTCGTTCTGTCTGTCATTTAGCCAATACTCATTCATGTCTTATCTGGGCCAAAAACTACATAAGGCCCCCAAAATGAGCAAGAAATGGTCCCTGATCTGTACGAGTTTATTTCCCAAGAGGGAAAAGAGTCAGAATTGAAAGAAACAGATATGGTGAAATATGTAGATGTTACTATAGAAATCTGATCCCATAGGGGAAATATGGTGGTTTCTACCCCAAAATTGGGCTTCCAGCAAAAGTGAAGGAAAGCCAGGCAGGGGCCAGATGTTCACCCAGTGAGCAGTTAAGAGGATTCTGGCTAGAGCTAATACCGGGAATGAAGACATTTGTTTCTAAAGAAAAACATGTGTATTTATTGGCAGAACAGTTTCTTTATTTTGCCTTATAAGTTGCCGCATGCAGACTTTTTAATTTTTAAAATAATATCAGGTGATAATCACATCTCAAAGAACAGAAGGAGAAACAGTGATCTGGCTAATGAACTCAAAGATACTGTACTTCATATTTTAATAGCTCCACTGACGCTTAGTAAGTAAGAACTGTGTTTCTCAGATCACGACTTCTGTGTTAAGGAAGATCTCGTATTATTGGACCCCGGATACCTGGTTTCCTGCAGTGCTGACCCTGACCACGGCTCTTTTCCTGACGTGTCTGTATGCTCTTGCCTGGTGCCTCTTCAAAGAGTAAGATTTCAGTTGTTGTTTTCATTTGCTTTTGTTCATAGCTCATAAAGTCCATGGAGGACAACTTTGAAAGAACAGGACGAAAGTGCAGGGAAAAGCTTGTGGAAATCCACCTATTACGTTTAGTACCATAGAGATGTTATCCTTCTGGCAATCACAACAAAGCTGAGAGAGTAATATCTGTGTTTCAGAGTTGAATTCAGGAGGTTAAGCAAGACCTTCTGGTTCAAAAGCATTGTTAGTTCACTTAAATGCTCGATCAAATGATTCAAGCTAAGAATCATTTGGGGGAAAAAAGAAAGGAAAAGAAATGAGATTTCAAATTTCCTACAGAAAATATTGAAATGGAAATTAGCTGATGTATGCATTAACAAGATTGAGACGTCTGACTATATTTACTATCAAAGGAGAGTTGGGTTCATCTAGAATTACCTCTTGGGCCCTTTTGGCTTAGATGATGTGACAGCTGGTCCGGGTACAGAGAGGAGAGCTGCCAGGACCTGTCCTGGGGAGTTCAGCCATTAATGCAAAGGACACAGCAGAACAGTGGTAGCTGGACTGGGAAGGAGAGGAAAGTGGGGGTGAAGAAGCTTAAACCCCATCTCTGGTGCCCCTTGCTCCTGTCTGGAGTGATCTGGCAGGGCGGGTTTCACAGATAAAGTATTACTTAAGCCTGGATGGAAGCAAAGTAAAGACACAAAATGTAGTTCAGCTATGTGTAAGGGTGATTTATTTTCCTTTTAAGAAGCACAAAAATGGGCCAGGGAGATAGCTCAGTGGCACAGCATAAGGTTCTGAGTTCGATTCCCAGCACCAAGAAAAAAAAGCATAAAACTGGGAACAGCTAAGTAGGAGTTGTATATATTTATTCTCTAATGTGAGACTGCCTCTTATCTTGGAAGAGGAAATGTACACTCCACGAGGTAATGCAGTAGAATACAAAGGTAACAGAGTACTGTATTTTCATGACAGTAAAGTCTTACAAAGGACAACTTTTATTTGAACTGGAGAAGGCACAGTGAATATACAGCTGCCCTTTGAAGGCAACATATAGCTTAGAACAATATTTGGGGTCATAATGATGATATCATTTTCCTGAATCAGTAATTTAACACTTTTTTTAAAGAATAGCAAAAAAGACAATGAATTAAGAAAATATAATAGATGGGTTTAAAAGTGTGTACTGTATCCATTTCCAACATTTCTCTGCCATGACGTTCTGACCTGGAACTAGGGTAAGATGGCCGCCAGTCTGTGGGCGTGCGGTGCGTAGCAGTGCATGATGGGAACAGAGTGCTGTGCTACAGTAGCTGTCAAGCTAGGAACTTCTCCCCGGTTACCCAATGGCAGCTGTGTAGCATGTTTTTTTTCTTGAATGTAGAGAAAGCAGAGAAAGCTGATATATTTTTAATATCCAAGGCATTTTCTACCTTTTTCCCCTTTTTCCCAAATTGGACACAGATTTTTTTTTTACAGAAATGTTGTGTAATTGATTTAAGAATATTATATTTATTTTAATATTTAAACAAAATACTAATGGGCATTATGCTTAGATTCTGCTTTATTCATTTTTAGTTTTTGCATGAGGGTGCTACTTCATAAACTTAATGCTCGTTGATTAAAGTCAAAGCACAGAATTAATTCTGATCACTTTTGATAGAAATAAGCACTTAGTTTCTTTATAAACGTCCTCATCGCTGTGCTCACTCTTTCACATGTAGTACTCCTGCTTCTTCAAGACTATTCCCTCACCGTCACAGATCAGGTCAGTCAAGTCTCACCACCGAGGAGCCTGGGCTGGTACCAAGGTAAAAGTAGATTTGATGTTTTGCAGAAAGAAACTTTAGGCTTTAGAATTGAGGTCTAAATGCTTCAGATGAGATCAGGAGTGTTCAGGGTGGTATGGCTGTAGACCTAAATGCTTCAATATGTTTGAAATTTAGGGTTATAAAACACTGATTTTAAAATTATTTATCAATTTTTAAAAAAGTTTTATTATAATTAATCAGTATTAGTTGACCACATAAAATTCTAGATAAGAACAAATGAGAAAAGGATAGATAGGACAAAGCAGAAAACAGAAGCAGATTTACAAATAAGCGCTGTAATCCAGTACTGGTGCTGGCCCTGGATACTATTAGGACCATTTCTACATTGAGTTGCTTGTTTAATGATGAGGAATGAGAACATAAATGGATAAAGTTTTGGCTTAAAGGAGCATGGAAATAACTTATTTCTATCTAGAAGAAAAGATAATATCACAAATTATTAATAACAAACTCATCTATTAACCTCAATTTAAGAACATAAATTATTATGACTTACATAGGAACCTATTAAGAGCCACATTAAGGATTATTTAAATATAGCAGTATTGATTTTCCCATTGATTTATAAAAATAAACTTGTATTATTTATTAATTATGCAAATAAGCACTAAATAATCTTTTGTCTTAAAGACTAAAACAAGGAGTTTTAATATTTAATCTTTTTTGTAGGCATGGAAATGCATTGAGTAAAGACCCCAAACCCAGCACAAAACTGAACTTTCTTCCTGGAAATCATTAGGTAAGAACCATGAGAAAAACTTATTATAGTTACTGATATAGTCTTTCTTCCTCCCTTCCTCCCTTCCTCCCTTTTGTTTCTTCTTTCCTTCCTTCCTTCCTTCCTCCCTTCCTTTGTTCCTTCCTTTCTTTCTCTTTCTTTTTCTGATCAAGTCCAAACAATAAAAAGCATTCGCATGTAAGTTATTGTCAAGGTGACTCAGCCCTAGGAATGAGAGGGTTTCTGCAGTGCATGTGAAAAGGCAAGCGAAAACTAAAGAAGAAAGAGCTGGCAATCAGTTTTAAGTAAATGGCAGTGGTGATACCAGTAATGATAATAGTAACACCACTGTCCCTATAGACGTCTAAGTTGATGGTGTGTGTGGATGAGACAGTTTGTTTGCAAATTCTCTTTATTCTTTCTTTCCTTGCTTTTGAATTCTGAAAAAGTCTTAGTGGAGTTAAATCACATGCATAATCTAGTGTGGCCATCTCCACGGAAGGCTGTGATGTCCGTTTACCTTTGTACCATTCAAGGATTGAACAAATCCCTACTTCCTGGCCAGACTAGTGGGTAAGAGCACTTTCACTGAGACATCCATTTAATATGCATTTTTTAAAAATTGTAATTAAAACACTAACACCAAAGTGCAATATTTGCTGAATTGTGGAATTAACTTTCTTAGTACTAATAGTGTTTTTAAAAGTTGTATATACTTGTATTTATATTAGCATATGTTTATAGTGCGTAGAGGTCACCTTCCTCTTGGGAGCTGGTACACGGATGTGATGTATCTCAATTCTTTTTTCAAATCCCCTCTCCTTCCCCTCCTTTTGCCTCCATCCATCTCTTTGTCCTCTTTCCATGTACACAAGGTCTATCTCGCTATTCCCTATTATCTACTTTATTTTGCCCTTATTTATATTTGGCCCTTCTTTATCTATATGGTTTCCCATATAAACCAAATGATATTTAAGCTATTTATATCCGGTTTATTTTACTTAACATGAGACATTTCAGAGTACTGTACAGGTCTTTCATTTTCTTTGTTAGCTTAGTTCCTAAGTATTTAAATTTTCCTGATGCTATTGGGAATGGTCTTATTCCTCTAAATTTTTCTCTGTGAGTTTATCATTGGTGTACAGGAGCGCTATTAATTTTTGTGTGTTGACTTTGTATCTTCTTACACTACTAAATTTAGTTATTAATTCCAGGAGTCTTTTGGCGGAAGTTTTTGGGTTTTCTATGTAAAACATCATGTTATTGTGCAATTAATTTATATGAAAATTGCATTCAACTCTGTGGATAGGGAAAACTTTTCTAGTAAATACATGGTAAGAACACTTGTATTTTTTAACAATAGGGTTAATACAACAGATATTTATGAAAACTTTTACAGTAAAGTTTACTCTGTAAATTACTTGGGAGAATTCACAGAAGTACGCAGCATAGTCTTCACTCTTTAAGAACTCATATTCCAGCTGGGAAGCATTATAAACAGAATATTGAAGGGAATGGTGTATGGCAGTTTATTATTCTTCTCAGAGAGCACAGTGTGTGCAATGGACTACACCAGAGGTTCCTAGAACAGCTGCGTCCTTTGAGCTAAACCAGTTGGAGGAAGCTTTGCGGAAGGATTCGCACTGGGGTGAGAGCGTAGGAAGGCGTGTATCTCTATAGATGGGAAACGCGGGGAAAAGGTTTCACAGTTTTGCCATCAAGCATGTTGTACACACTTCAAGATTTTCCCTTGGGGCAGAGTTCCTGCTCTCTTTTGCATTTCTCCTACTTTAGATACGCACACTGCCACCCTGGCACCTGCTCCGCTTCCGGCCCATCGTCCAAGTTAAACCCATCTGAGAGCACTCATGTCATGACTGCAGCTTCCACGTATCCATGAACCTGCACGGCCTGCTGTCCACCACACTGTGTCTTTCCCCTTCCGGCAGCAATGGATTTCTTTGTCTTTCCTTGAAGAACGCGCTGTGGAATTAGCGTTTGCAGGCGCACCCTCCACCTCAAAGGCTGAGAGGGAGCGTGTGACTGCTTCCTCCCCAGTTCTTTCCTGGCCGGTGTGCACCTCCCGCTTCCTCCACGCAGCACTGCCCTGCGGGGCATGCCCAGTACTGTAACAAGCACGGTCTGTTATTATCGTTCTCCTCGAATTCATCAAGGACTTTACCTTTTGGTTCCCAAGATGTTTCCCAGCACTTTTCCGGATGGCTTTCACGCAGTGGAGCGCCGCACAAGTGATCAATCAGCATCACGCTGATCGGCGCAGCTTACGCCTTTGTATCTATTCTTTCCTCCTCCTATTCCAGATATCACAGTCATGGTCACCCACAGCTATTATCAGTCATTATAATGGAAAACAATCAAGTTACAAATATATATCGTGCTTTCTAGTGATGGCCCAACTTGGTCAAAGATATTTAGACATTTACTAATTTACCCCAAATCTTCCGTGCTGGCACTATTACTATTTTCCTTCTTCCCTCACTTCTCCTGTGTGCCACTTTGCTTCCTGTCTGGCGTGGAGCCCATCATCCTCCACTCATGGACATTTCATTCCTCTGTCTCACCATCTCCTTCCAACTCCCTTAGGGAGAAAGCCTCAGCCCTGACTGATGCAGTCGTCATCGTTTTGTGACAGCCTTTAAGCTGTGGTGTGCTTCTATTTAAAAGAATGCAATTGTGTGCTTTGGACTGACTTCAGATCCATGGCCATGTTTTTAAACAGTAGCTCAATGCAGTTACAGCAGACTGCAGAGTCCTAATCAATTCAGTTTACCACCTGCAATGATGAACATTCTCAGCTCTCTTGCCTTTCTCAGATCTCTAACTCATCCATCGCTTCTCCTGCTGAATGGTGATATCTCTGCACATCTTACGAACAGACATAATTAGATTTAAAAACTCTGAACCTCTTAAAATGAACTCTGCTAATTTGCCCTCATCAGTACCATCTTGCCCAAACCCTTAGGGCCAGAAGCCACCTTCTCCAGCGGGCTCTACCCACTGTCTTAGGGTGCCTATCTCTGGTCTTCTGGTGGAAAAAAAATCTCTATTATGATACCTTTCTCATACATGATTTTCATTGCCTAATATGACTTACAGTGTTCAGCTTTCAAAGAACTTTCCTTAATCCTATTTACCCTTTCAGCAACTGTCCCATTTCTGTTCCTATCCACAGTAACACCCATTAAAAGAGTTACCTAGGCTTCTTACACACAATGTCTTCCCTCCAAACATCTACCCCACTCAGAGGGCTCTCGGTATGCTTGATATTCCATTGACATGGCCCTGCCCGGTGTCTCTGTTGACCAGGCTTTAGGAGAGGGGTGGCAGTTCTGACTCCTCCATGCCTGTCGTGAGGAAATCAATAGAAGACACTGGTGCACACTCCTGCTAGCTACCTGGAGGTCCTGTGTAACAGAGAGCGGTGTCTTGGATATGGCCCGAGTAAAGCTTTAATATCAACAAGCAGATAACTCTGAAACTGAGGAAGCTTTCAGCATGTTTCAAATAACCACTTACCCATAGTACATGAGCAATAGGAGTAAACAAAAAAACTATTTCATACCATTGTCAGATTTCTCAAAGTTCCAATGACTAGTGCAGTGGACCTGTGAACTGCAAAACAATCACCTTGTGATTTGTAAGGTTCCTGATAATGTCAGCATCTACAGATACAAATTTGGGCTGAAATAATAATGCAGATTTATTTCTTCCAGCCATCGATAGTTTATGATGGCTGTGGAATTGATCCTGGTGAGAAGTAGAATATGTATCACTATCCATATGTCTGTAAAGTGTTTTTAAAAATGGAAATGTTTCACAAAACTGAGAAGCACTGTGCTGTGATTAATTAACATACTGTCATGTTTTGATTTTGAAGAAGATGCTGAATTAAACAAATTATAAATGCTTATTTCTACTTAGAAGTTCAGGACCTGTGTAAGTTGTTCTGTTATTAAAAAGCTGTTATTTTATTATTCTTGATCACAATGATTCATGAATTCTTTTTTTTTTTTTTTTT